TATCTCAGGCATCGAGAGTGACACACAGTGATCTTTCTGGGGTGATCCCAGATCACTGTACCCATCTTTCTAGGTAGTTACTAACACCCTGTCCACTTCCTGTCACCCCCTGTAGCTCCTGTTCTTCTTTGAGTCTGGCCAGGAAGATAGAAACTAGAACTGATCATCCAGCCATCTCCCCAGAGGCTAGGGAGCTACCTGAAGTTAGGGTATACCTCCAGAGTCACCCATGGGAACAAAGGACCTCAGTGCTGTTTTAAAAAAGGCAAAATAGGCATACAATCAAACCAGAGAAAACTCAACATGGTGGAGGGGAGGTGGATATGAAGTTTTATCACTAAGGACCCACAGCATTTGATTGTGGCTGGGTGAGGGAATGGCAGTTTTATTCAGTTAAGTGGCATTTTCTGTATTGACTGCACCCCAGGGCAGGCAGTAAGTCAATCAGACTGATCTCTCTCTCTCTCTCTCTCTCTCTCTCTCTCTCTCTCTCTCTCGCACACACACACACGCACACGCACACACACACACACACACACACACACATTTTTATATATTTTTAAGAGAGGGCAGAGAAGAGATGAAGTTGGGTGGGTCCGAAGGTGGGGAGGGTCTCAGAAGAGCTGGAGAATGATATTGGATATGATTAAAACATAGTATATGAAAATCTCAAAAAGAAAGCAAAAGAAGAAGAGAAGGAGAAGGAAGGGCAGGAGGAGGAGGTGGCAGGTGTCACCCAGAGAAGGGAAGGGCTAATAACAGCTATATATATATGTGGGACGGTAAAAGGAGCGGAATTCAATAGACTTTCTGTTCCTGCCCTAAGGACAGGGCTAGCAGTCCTTGACCAGTTAGGTCAGTTCTGCTGGACACCCACACAGGCCCTGGTGGAGCAGAGTGCTTCTGACCGCCTCTAACTTCCTGGATGTCGACAACAGAAGAATCACAAGCAACTGTGTGTGCATGTGTGCTTTGGGAACTACGAGGAAAGGCAGAGGCTCACCTAAGGACTTGGCTGGGAGAGAGATGGTTTGAGCTCTACACTGGTGTTCACTTAGAGGTGAACTATTGGCCCACACACGCCTAATATTTGGGGGACCTTTGAGGAGCAGAGCATTATACAACCGGCCTTATCTCTGTCTTGCCTTGAGCTGCTGATGCCAGTTTAAAGATGGAAAAGGCGAGGTTGCCCCAGGTAAGGTCATGAAGATTATATGTACTCTTAGAGCCTTGCATTCAGGGCTGTGCGTGTTCTCCGCCACCTCTTCCTCCTCCTCCTTCTTGGTTTTTTCTTCTTTTCTTTTCTTTTCTTTTCTTTTTTTTTAAGACAGGGTTTCTCTATGAATCCCTGACTGTCCTGGAACCCACTTTGTAGATCAATCTGGCCTCGAACTCAGAGATCCAACTGCCTCTGCTTCCCAAGTGCTGGGATTAAAGACATGCGCCACCACCGCCACCTGGCTTCAACACCCACATTCTTAACATTTGGCCAGATTTCTCAATGCCAAAGACTTTGCAGTTGGCAAGCTCATATTTTTTCTGGAAGCCAGTAAGAACAAAGGCAACCCTGGAAAATTCTGAAAGGTAATTAGGAAGTCCTATCTCTTCCTACTGGTAAATCTGGGGTCAGGTATGTGGGCCTCAGGGGGCGCCAGACCTCATTGGCCCCTAGATGGTGGCTGTCAAGTGTTTGTACAAGAACACAATGGTTTTCTGTGGGGCTGAGTCGTGTCCCCTGGCATTTGTAGGTTGAAACACCACCCCCGTGTGACTATATTCAGAGACAGGGCCTTTAAGAAGGGCGATAACTCTTAAAATGTCAGAACTAGGAACACATTCTCACATTTCTTTTTAAAAACATTTTTTTTTAAAAAAAACTAAAGACTTTCATTATTTTCTCTGGAAAATTAGTAGCATGCAAACCTCTTACCTTTTTAATGCCTTCTAATATCCTATATTTATACATACAGCATTTAACAGCATTAAAAGCAAACCAAATTATATTCAATATACTTGTTTTTGTTTTCTTTTTGATCTGACATTCTTGTCTGGGTCTTTAAGACCTTGTGTTTACAAAGGTTTCTCTTGCCAGCTCCTCTCCATCTTCCTACATATTGCTCAGTTTCTTGCTGGGCAAAATTAGGTAAACTAGAAAGTATTCTCTCTCTCTCTCTCTCTCTCTCTCTCTCTCTCTCTCTCTGGGGTGGGGCAGGGGGCAGTATATATGTGAGTACGCAGGTGTGCTGACCTGTGCAGTATATATGGAAGTCAGAGGTTAACTCTAGATATTTTCCTCAATCATTTCTCCACCTTATGCTTTGAGACAGGATCTCTCTCACCGAACCTGGAACTGCCCCGGTTTTGTCTACACTGACTAGCCACTGAGCCCTAGGGATCTGCATACCTGTCTCAGCTCCCCGCCCCCCATATGTAGATTTGAACCACACATGGGTGCTGTGGATCTGAATCCATGTCTTCATGTCTGCATAGCAAGCATTTTAACCCCTGATAGTCCTGGCCCCACTAAACACCAGTCTCTAAAAGGCACAAGAACTGGAATGTCCTACAGCTCCCGTCACCCCCGGGTAATAGAAACACAGTACAGAAAGACCCGGTGTGTCTGCACCACAGCCTAGAGCCGCG